ACGACCCTGCGGTGGCCTCCAGAGGGCCCGCGCCCGCGCGGCGGGCTCGGACAGGGAAGCGCAGAAGCGGCTGCGAGAGAGTGAGAGAAAACGACGAGGGGGGAGGCAGGAAGGAAGGAAGGAAGGAAGGAAGGAAGGAAGAAGGAAGGAGGAGGAAGAGGAGGAGGAGGAGGAGGAGGAGGAGGAGTAGGAGGAGAAGGAGGAGGAGGAGAGAGAGAGTGAGAGAGAAAACGACGAGGGGGGAGGCAGGAAGGAAGGAAGGAGGAGGAGGAGGAGGAGGAGGATTGCCAGGCTCGCTCGATAGGCTTGCAGGGTTGCTGGACCCGTCTCCAGGGATGAGGCGGCCATCGGCGAAGGGCCGGAGGCTTGTGGGGCAGCTTGTGGGCAATCCGTGCTGCCAGAACCCGGTAATTTTCCGACAACGGGGCGCATCCTTACAGAAGCTACGATGGACCAAACCTACTGCTAGCGGCCGTGGTGGAACCAGTCCATGGAGGTGCTGCCACCGGCCGTGGTGGCTCGAGTCCGCCGGGAGGACGTGTATCCACATGCCCCAATACGAGGTTCTGGCCGTAGGAGGAGGGGAGGAGGAGGACGAGGAGGACAAGGATGAGGAGGAGGGGCAAGGATGGAGAAGCAGGAGGAGGGGAGGTGGAGGAGGAGGACGAGGACGAAGGATGGAGAAGGATGATGATGAGGAGGGAGAAGAAGGATGGAAAGGAAGGATGGAGAACGAGAAGGAATCTCATGAAGAAGGAGAAGGCGGACGAGGGAGGAGGAGGAGGAGAAGAAGTGAGGAGAGAGGGTAGAGATGATGAGGCAACTTGATGCTTAAGCCTGGCCGGGGGAGAATGTACCAAGGCTCTGGACAGGAAGGTAAGGGGTCGGACGAAAGAGGGAAGGAGAAGGAGGCGGCGAGAGGGAAAGAGACGCGGGAGGACCCAAGGGAGGGAGGGAGGACGATGAGGCTGGAAAAGAGCGGTTCAAAAGAAGGTGGAGAATGAGGAAAAAGAGGAAGAGGGAGGATGAAGTCGGAACTGAGGATCAGGGGGGAAGGAAGATAAGGATGAGGAGGGGACGAGGGGAGAAGGAGGGAGGATGAAGAGGAAGTTGGGGAAGGAGGAGAAAGGGAGGACGACGGCGGAGCGTTCTCCGTCTGGCATGTCTGCTGCAGCTTCGACTGCGCGTACAGATTACCAAACTCGCTCGCAGGCACAACGGCCCATGCCCAGTGACCGCGCTAATATTAAGTCGGGCCTGTCCCCCTACAGGGGGATTTTCGACGAGAAATAAACATATGTTCGAAATAGTCCAAAAATACTCCAACAATAATCTGGGGACTATGTTTTGAGTACTGTTTGACCGTTTTGGGGGCATTTTTGGGGTATCTTTATTTTTTCGTCGAACGTCCCCCTGTAGGGGGGACAGGCCCGCCTTAACGCTGATCGAACGAGAGAACGCAAAGAGTGCGAGGACAACTAGGGGGAGCAGACATGGTGAGGAGTAAGACGTTGAGGAAGGAGGAGGAGTAAGACGTTGAGGAAGGAGGAGGAGGAGGACAATGGGAGAAAGGAAGGAGAAAGGAGGAGGATAATTAGGGGGAGAAAGGATGAGGATAATTAGGGCGAGCAGACATGGTGAGGAGTAAGACGTTGAGGAAGGAGGAGGAGGACACGGAGAACGAGCAGGAGGGCAGAGCGAGGGGCGGTAGAGCAAGAAAGGCAAGGGTGGAGCAGGATGGCTTTCTCGGCCTCATCCTTCTCCTCCCTCTCCTCGTCCTCGACCTCCTCCTCGTCCTCCTCATTCTCCTCCTCCTCCTCCTTCCTCCACCCCCCTGTCTCCTCTCGGTCGGATGGAGGAGGAGACAGCCCACCGTCAGGAGAGGAGGCACGGGTTTGAGGAGGAATGGGGGGGGTAACGGGGAGGAGAAGGAGGACACATGATCGATCCAACCCGCAGGGAAGGAGGAGGCGGCGGCGGAGGAAAGAGGGGAACAAAAGGGAAGGATGATGATGAGGAGGAGAAGGAGGAGGAGGAGGAAGAGGAGGAGGGGGATGAGGAGGAGCGACCGTACCCCATGACCTGCGCGTGCCAGTCACCATGCAGCTCGAGCGCGAGCCAATGAGAGGCACTGCAGCCAGCACTGAGGGTCAGACCCTCTGTGAGCGTGGACTACACCACGCCAAGCATGCAACAGCGGCTTGGAGGAGGGCCGGGACAGAGGCGCATGAAGGCAGAGGCAGAGACCTACGAGCCGCCAGGCACGACTACATCCAAAATAATGCCGAAGCGCGTCAACACCATGATCACGCCCGAATGCCCGAATGCACAAGGTTCAGCTCGAGCCTCACGAGATATGCCAGTGAAATGCATGCGGGCCGCGGTGGGCCACGAGGGGGGTGAGAGGGGGGACAGAACAGGACAAAACTGCGTTCGGCCACGGGTCAACATTACACTCGACATCTACACACCAGACACCTACGAGATGTACGACCTGCCGTGCTCGCAGACTGTGGCCATGACGAACGACCAACCCCCCCGGGAAGGGAGCCCCGAATTGTCTTCGCTCGACTTCGAGCGACTAAGACGGCGAGCTTCTGGGCACTTAAAGCTGGTCCATGGTGGAGGGAGGAGAGGGGAATGAGGGACGATGGAGGGGGCGGGTCACGAAGACGATGACGGCACCAAGGCGGAACGGCGCCAACGAACGGCCAGCACGGATCTATGATGATGGCCAGGAGGACGAGGTGGACGAGGAGGAGCATCGATGATCGAGCCCGACTAGCAGCCTCCCCGCTACAAATGCCAAGCATCGCAGGGAGAGTGGGGGGGGGAGAGGCAGCGATATGAGGGGGGGCGGGGAGGACGAGGAGCTTGGGATTCAGTAGGGGGACGAAGAAGAGGAGGGAGGGGGGGAGGCAGATGTGGAGAAAGCAGAAGAGGTGGGAGGAGGGGCGACGAGGAGTAAGGACTGGGGGAGAGAAGACGAGGAGGAGGAGAAGGAGCAGGAGGAGAAGAATGAACGACGACGACGAGGACCATCAGGGAGCACAACACGGCACGGCTCAGCACGCAGCCCTGCTCCTGCAGCGACCAGAAGGCCTCGTTCAGATCGTCTGGGAGCTTGCCGTCGAGCGACACCAGAAGTTGCCTCTCTTCCATCGGGCAATACAGTCGGGGCGTTGACCTAAGGAACCACAAAATGAGGAACGAGGCCCCTTTTTTCCAGAAGTTCAACTTCGATTTCCCATCGAAAACATAAGGAAAACCTCAGGCAAGCTGCGACACACATAAGGAACGCGGAGCCCCTCCCCAACGAAAAGGGTTCCTTCTTCAGGGCCCCGACTGTAAGGGCACCCTCCCCGAACCGACCTCGATGTTATACCTCGGCCCGAACATGTATGAGCGGGGAGGGGAGACGCGCAGGAAGAGGCCTCCCGATGACCCCGCGGAGCGGCGGTTTTCTCTGGAGGCCCACACTCGACAACCTGCACTCTTGAGGAGTCCCCCTCCTCCTCTTCCTCCTCTCCCCCATTTTGCTCCCTGGGAAGCTCCCAGAAATTCTGGAATTTCCAATAGGGAAACGAACACTTGCATAAACATAAAAATTCTGAGGTCCGCGCGGATTTCTCGGATCGGCGCTGGACACCCTGGCGGCGCCTTCGGCGCAGCCCCTGGCGCGCTCCGCGCACCAGGGAGGGGGGCCCAGCGCGGATCCAAGAAATCCGCGCGGACCTCCGAGTTCTTACGTTTGTGCAATTTTTCGTTCCCCTATCCAACAACCTTTCGACCCCCCCCCCCTCCTCGACCAGAAACCCTTCGACAGCCCTTCGAGACCCTCCGGGGACCTTTGCCACGCGTCCAGGGACCAGTCGGACTCCTCCGAAGATCACTCATACACGTCGTTCATTTCTAATCGTGCTCATTTCTAATTGCGCTCGTTTCTAATTGTTCCTGGCCCCCTAGTGGCCAGGAAGAGGCCCAGGATAGAATAATTAGAAATGACAGGATCTTGGCCCCCCAAAAAATCAAAGAACCCTCGAAGCATCAGACATGAGCAATGTGTACGTCTCCGAATGGCTCCGCATACGAACATCGGCGGCGAGCCCGGGGGCGAAGTGAGAAGGGGCGGACCTCCTCAGAAGGCTCAGCCGTCCCCGGGCCTTCTGAGAAGCTCCCTCTGCCATCCCCGAAGACACAGATAGCCTCACAGAAGGCCTGAGGCCCACTGAGAAGTCCCGCCGCCTTCTGAGAAGGCATTCCCCTTCTCACCTCCCCACCCCCTCGCTCGCCGCCGGAAAAAAATCATGCCGAACATCTCCCAGAACCGCCTCCTCCTCTTCCTCCTCCTCCTCCTGCTCTTCTTCTTCCTCCTCCTCCTCCTCCTCCTCCTCCTCCATCCGTCGGGGCAGATGAGAAGGGGGAGATAGCAAGAGCGGCCCAACGCCTCTTCTCGCAGACCGCCGCGCGCTGAGGAGAGCAAGGAACGGGGGGGGGCGTGGCCGAGACCAGCTGCAGGTAGGAGATGTCGCACCCCCCCCCAGCCCAATCTCTCCCCCCCCCTTCGCCCGACCCGCTTCATGGGAAGGGCCCAGGCACACACAAAGAAAGAGACACGCGTCCCATGACTGCCCATATGTTGCTACTGTGCTTGATCGCCGTCTCCCCTCATAACACTGCCAATATTTCGTACCTCTCCCTGGGGATCGGCGATTCCTTGTGCCTGTGCGCTGTTGTTCCCTCCCGAGAGAGAGCGGGGATCATGACCACGACTGAGCGCGGACACGCCAGTGTCGGTCTTGGTCATCGTCCATCTTAGTCATCGTTCACTCCCTGGGGCAGGAAAGGGGTGTGGTGTAAAGGGGTGTGGTGCCAATGCTGGATCTGGCGAGGTTGCCTATCGTAGATAACATCGCCGTTTCCGCGATTGGCACCACACCCCTTTACGCCACACCCTCTTTCGAGCCTCCAGAACCTCGTGAATCCTCTGCGCGAATCGGCGACGACCGGCATGGACCACGACCAAGACGGCGTCGACAAGGTTACGATACATCTTGGTCATGGTGATTGTGCTTTTGGCGGCCTAGAAATTGGCACCAACACCAACACGGGGGGTTGTCTCCGCAGGGGGAAGATGATCCTAGATTTCGGTGTTGGTGGTAATAGTTTGGCCACCTTGGAAGCCAGAATATTACCATCATCACCAAGATCGGGATCGTCTTCCCTCGGTGGAGGCACACCGCCGATCTTGGTGTTGGTGTCAACTTCTGGGCCTGCGATGCTTCCCCCATGGAACTCAGGCGGAGGCCCCGGGTGCCTCTGGGTGTCGCCGTCGGGCACCAGCCGCTGCTCGAGCATCGTCCGCAGCATCTTCGCGGCGTTGGCCCGCAGCGCGCCCTGAGGGACGCACAACACAGAGCAGCCTCATGAGGAGAAGGGGGAGGAGGAGGAGGAGGAGGAGGAGGAGGAGGAGGAGGAGGAGGAGGAGGAGGAGGAATGATGAGAAGGAGGAGGAGGAGGAGGAGGAGGAGGAGGAGGAGGAAGGTGAGGAGGAAGAGGAGGAGGAGGAGGAGGAGGAGGAGGAGGAGCGGAAGGAGGAGCCTCGCACTCTTTCCCACCCCATCCCCTCTCCATCAGCAGGCCGTCCACGAGAACGTGAGCGTGTGGTGCGTTTCTCTCCCTCCGCTTCTCCGGAAACCTACCCTGGGCGGCGTCTCAGGGCAAATGCCGCCGCCGTTGCCTGTCGGACCCCCTTCGCGCTGGCGACCGTGCGGCGCGGCTGGCGGACGTGGGATGGCCGCTCTCGGGCTGCGCGCAGGAGTAGGGTGATGGGCGACGGGACCTGGGCAAGTCAGCGAATCTCGCTAGCTTCAGGTCGAGCATGTCCTCCTCCAGGCGCATATTGGGGGGAAAAACAAACAGATAGCAGAATATGCCCCAACAAATGCTCAAAAATAATTTGAAAATCGTCCCCAGTCTATTTTTCATTATTTCTGAACAACCATTCCTCCTGTAGAGGACAGGCCCAATTCAATGCTGGCTCGTTGGACCTGCCACCGCCACACTTAGGTCAGGAGGTCCGCACTTAACGCCGCGACTTGGCGCCTTTTGTGGAAATCGCATTCGATGCCGCGGGCGAGGGGCGGGAGATGGCCAGGGTGTTTTTTTCGGATAGCCCGTAGAGAGGCTTTGAGATTAGCACGCTGGAACCGCAGGGTAGCCCTTGAGCTCGTTCCAGCTTCCGGCAGAAATCCCAGGCGCGGCCAGTTTGAGGTCGCAGCGTGTCCAGAGAGACCTCTTTCTAAGCGTTTCCCAATACGCGTGCCCGCAAGTTTCCCAGAAGGTCCTTCGGGATCTCTGTCCTGGAGCTTCCAAGCTCCTCCGACAGGCCCTGGTGCCCTGCTGTCCGGGTTTGGGATCCCACAAGTACTCCCAATCAAGACGGGGGGATATGGGCAACTCTGTTGTAAAATCTGTCCCCCGACGCCTCCTCAGGATCCAGCTGGCGCAGTGCTTAAAACCCGTTTTTTGATGGCCCTGGGGCCCGAACGCGGCCCCCCCGGAGACCGCAACATGTGAGCAACACCTCTTCGGACCTCCTCGATCCTCCTCGATCCTCGATCCTCGATCCTCCTCGATCCTCGATCCTCGATCCTCGATCCTCCTCGATCCTCCCCGAGGAGGACCTAGAGACTACCCTTCTGGCTTGCTCTGGCGGTGCTGGGCCACCGAAGACTCCTAGCTGGCTCCCGAGGAGGGTTACATGATGGAAATGTCGGGGGGTCAGGTCTGTATGGGGAGCCCCCAGGGGCGCCAGGAGGGCCTCTTCGAACCTGGAGACCCCCTTCTGGCTTGCTGGCCAGAGCCGGTGCTGGGCCACCGAAGACTCCTAGCTGGCTCCCGAGGAAAGATAAATGATGGAAATGTCGGGGGGGTCAGGTCTGTACAGTCAAAAAACTAACAAGGACGCGCGGTAAGGGCGCAAGGCCCTTGGAAGCCGAACTTGGGAGTTCTGGGGCGGCGGACGACAAAAACCTCAAGGACGCAAGAGCAAGGAAGAGCAAGGACGCAAGGGTACCGTGAGCAAAGTCGCGCGTCCTTATCAAGTTTTTGACTGTATGGGGAGCCCGCAGGGGCGTCAGGAGGGCCGTCTTAGTCGCTCGTCGCCGCGGCTCTTGGTTCGCCCGTTTGCGCGTCAGTATGCTCTTGGTGCGCGAAACTTCCGATCCAGACTTTCGCTGCACCGCGGGTCCAGCATGATTTCCATCTTAAATTTCAAATTCTGCGGTCCCCTCTCAGGGATCGATAGCACGATAGCCTAAAACGCCCCGGCAAATGTCGACATCGACTTGCGCAAACAAGCTGAAAAGACATGCGAGGAAAACGCCGCACGCGATGAGATGGTGCACTTAAGCGGGCCTGTGCTAATACCCTGGCACCTCACTGGGCAAATACGCGCCCGTCGAACACAATCGCGTTGACGACCAGACAAGGGAACCTACAACAGGTCCGCGTTTCCACGAAATGTCGCTGGACGCCAACGGCGCAAGCCCCGCCGCCGTGGATCGGCGGCGCCTTGGACTCATGTTGCGGTCGTGGCTACCGTGGGCCACCATGGCATCCTTCCATCCTTCAAGAGCATGTGGCCCTCTGCCGGCCAGGACAAGGAGAACAGCCGAGGCTAACCCCCTCAGGATGCACAGGAATACCAGGGCACCCTCCCCGAATCGACCTCGATCTTGTGCTCGCGTGGTGGGAGCCTGGCTTTTGTCTCGAAGGTTTGGCCTTCGGAAGGTCCGCGTGGCGACGCCCCTGCTGACACGCAGGCCCTCCGCGTGCCTGCGGGGGGCGCCGCCGCGCGGAGCCTCGGAAGGCCAGACGCCCGGGGAGAGGCGGGCGCTGCAGGAGAAGCGCGGCGAGGAGGAGGGCGGCGGCCAGGAGCGGAGGGAAGACGGCGACGGAGAGAAGCACACGGCCGCCCGAGCGCCCCTCGGGAGGCGCGAGGCGCCGAGGCCCGCGCCGAGGAGGGGCGGCACTCGAGAGCCCCCCGGCGCGGTGTCGGGGCAGCCCGGGGAGGGCGCCGGCGGGGCCGGGGCGAGGAGGCCCACGCGCTCACGGGTGCGCGAGGAGGGGCCTGGTCGAGGGCATCGCCGAGGAGGCGCGGACGGTCGAGGGCATCGCCGAGGAGGCGCGGACGGTCGAGGGGGCCTGGTCGAGGAGGCGCTGCGGGGCCTGGTCGAGGGCATCCCGAGGAGGCGCTGACGGTTCGCGCTCACGCGCGGGCCCACGCCGTCGCTCGGACGCCCCTTCCCCGTGCAGTCTGATGCGGCTTCGCGCGTGTTGTGTGTGTGTGTGCTTATAGAATGCAATTGGTACTACTAATGTTATTGTTAGTGGTAGTGTTATCAGTGCCACGGATCGCATTCTTATTCGCACTAGTGCTTTGATTGTAAGTCGTATTAGTATCACAATATTACAACCCTGATTGGTATTATTATTGATTTCAATATTAGGAATACTACTGGTATACATCTACAAGAGAACCCGAGAGCACCCCGAAAGGATCCTCGAGCGTCCTCGCCGGAAAAAATGCACACGTCCGAGCGATGCCAAGGCGGCCTCGTCCTGGTGTCGAGTAGGGGATCGACTACATAATGGATGTGCCCCAAAACTGATTTCCAAGTCGAGTCATACGTAGAATTTTCGTAGATCTACAAAAACCAGTCTACGCATGCCCCAGGGATTCGACGAACCAATCCATTTGGGGGCTCCCTACTCGAAGGTGGCAGGGGGCGCCTGCGCGCGCGCGGGGGGGCCATATGCTCGACGTCGGCGCTGCTCGCGCAAGGGCGACGGCGAGGTTTGCGAGGGCTCGGGGCCCATTTCCCGAGGCCCCGGAGCTGGCCAACGTCGGCGCGCGCCACCCCCCCCAGTGGCCGATCACGGCGTCCTCCCGAGCAGAGCCCACTCTCAATCGGACCCTGGAGTTCGAATCCCAGCGTCTCGACTGCGGCCCCTCCTGCGCCCGCGGGCCTGGTCCAGCGAGGTGGTCGCCACCCGGAAGAGCTGGCGGTCGAAGGCCACGGCGTCGCGCGGCCTCTTGGCCTCCCACGGGTCGCCCCGAGGAGGGGGGAGGGGGAAAGGGAGAGGCCAGAAGAGGAGGAGGGACGAGGCGGGGAAGAGGGGGGGGGTGGGAGGAGCAGGAGGAGGAATAGGAGGAGGAATAGGAGGAGGAGGAAGGGGAGGAGGAGGAGGAGGAGAAGGAGGAGGAGGAGGAGGAGCAGGAGTGGGAGGAGGAGGAGGAGGAGGACCAGTGCAAACACAATAATCATCAACAATGTTGGAGTAAACCCTCCCTCCAAGCTCGCTCTTATCATAGGCCCCTACATCGGCTGATTTCTATTGATGGGACTGCCTCATTGGAAGACACCCGCTTGAAGACCCTGAAGCATGCCAAAACTTTGTTCTCGGGATCCCAACGCCACGGATCAACCTGACGGTTGCGTATTGACGATCCAGAGTCGTGCCAGAACGTCATTCCTAGGACTTCAACACAGAGAATCAACGTCACTGCTGCGCTAGCATAATCCGGAATCCTTCCCAAACGCAATTTCTGGTACGCTGATGATGGGAATCCGTGACATGTCTGCTGCTGCAACTGTTCAAAGCGAATGTGCGCGGCGCTATGGCGAAAACCACATTTTGAAGAGGGACCGCCCTCAATCCGTGAAGCTCTTGTACGTGTGTTAACAAGAATGTGCGCCACGCTCCAACGAGAGCCACAATGTGAAAACCACCCGCCCTGAATCCGTGAAACTCTTGCAAATGTTTGAAAACGAATGTGCGCCGCGCTACGACGAGAACCACCACATTTTGAAAACCACCCGCCCTCAATCCGTGAAGCTCTTGCCAATGTTTGAAAACGACTGTGCGCCGCGCTACGGAGAGAGCTACGTTTTGAAAACCACCCGCCCTCAAACCGTGAAGCTGTTGCCAATTCCTAAGTTCTCGAATCATAAATGGTGAGGAAGTCTCAAGCGAAACGCACGGCCGGCCCTAAAAACTGGCCTCGGGGTGCGACAGGGGGAACATATGTTTGAGGAGAAAGAGGGGGGGGGAGGAGGAGGAGGAAGAGGAGGAGGAGCAGTGTAAACCCGAGAGTCATCAACGATGTTGGAGTATCCCCCCCCTTTTCCAACCTCCCAGTTCATAGGCCCCTACAACGGTTCATTCACATTGATGGGACTGCCTCATTGGAAAACACCCGCTTGAAGATCCTGAAGCATGCCAAAACATTGTTATCGGCATTCCAACGCCACGGATCAACCTGACTGTTGCGTATTGACGATCCTGAACAGTGCCAGAACGCCATTCCTAGGACTTCAACGCAGAGAATCAACGTCACTGCTGCGCTAGCAAAATCCTGAATTCTTCCAAAACGCGATGCCGGGTACGTTGATCATGGGAACCCGTGAAATCCTTTTAAAGCAAATGCGCGCGACGCTAAGGCGAGAGCCACAGTTTGAAGAGGAACCGCCCTCAATCCGTGAAGCTCTTGTACGTGTGTTAACAAGAATGTGCGCTGCGCTAGGGCGAAAGCCACATGTTGAAAACCACCCGCCCGCAATCCGTGAAGCCCTTGCAAGTTAATGAAAAGATTGTGCGCCGCGCTACGGCGACAAATGTTAAAAACGAAGGTGCGCCGCGCTATGGCGAGAGTTACATGTTGGAAACCACCCGCCTTCAATCCGTGAAACGTTTGAAAGGAATTTGCAACGAATGTGCGCCGCGCTTCAGCGTGAGCATCATTTTGAAAACCACCCGCCTTCAATCCGTGAAACCCTTGCAAATGTTTAACACGGGTGTGCGCCGCGCTAAGGCGAAAACAACATGTTGAAAACCACCCGCCCTCAATCCGCGAAGCGGTTGCCAATTTTTAAGCTCCTGAACCATAAATGGTGAAGACGTCTCAGGCGAAACGCCCGACCCGCCCTAAGAATTGGCCTCGGGGTGCGACAAGGAGAAGTTATCCATAAGGAAAAAGAGCGGAGGAGGAGGAGGTGAAGAGGAGGAGGAGGAGGAGGAGGGGGGGAGAAGAGGAAGAGAGAGGAGAGATGAAGAGGATGAGGAGGGGTGAGGGCAAGAAGGCGGGAAAATGAGAAGGAATGGTGCTAATAATGAGGAGGAAAAGCAAGAAGAGGGGACAGAATGCGGGGGAACAGATATGATGATGATGACGATGATGATGATGATGATGATGATGAGGAGGACGATCAGTGTAAACCCAAAAACCATCAACGATGTTGAAAGCAACCCTCTCCCCAAGCTCCCTCTTCATAGACTCCCATCAGGGTTCAGTTCCACTGCGGGAACTGCGACACTGGGAGACAATCGTCTGAAGACCGCGAAGCGTGCCAAAACACCATTCTCGGGATTCCAGCGCCAGTGATGAACCTAACTATTGTGCCTTGACGGTCATGAATCATGCCAGAACACCGTTCTTGGGACTTCAACACCGCGAATCAACGTAACTGTTGTTGGGGGGCTCACAATGTTGAATCGTTTCAAACACCGCTTCTGGTACGTTGACAATGTGAATCCGTGGAACTCTTATACAGGTATAAAACGAATGCGCGCGGCGCTTAGACGAGAGCAACAGTTTGAAAACCAAACGCCCTTAATCCGCGGGACCCTTGCAAAGTGCTCAAACGAATGCGCGCGGCACTACAGCGAGAACCATATTTTGAAAACCAGCCGCACTCAATCCGTGAAGCTCTTGCAAATATACAAGAGCCACATCTTGAAAACAAACCGCCAGAAAAACCGGTGAAACCCTTCCAACTCGTTTCTCGAATGTGCGCGGCGCTACAGCGAGGACCACATATTGGAAACCAACCGACCTCAATCAACGAAACTTTTTTATGTGTTTCAAACAAATACGCGCGGCGCTAAGGCGAGAACCAGACTCTGAAAACCAACCGCCTTCAATCCGCAAAGCTCTTGCAAAGTGTTCAAACGAATGTGCCCGAGGCTAAGGCGAGAGCCACATTTTGGAAGCGACCAGCCCTCCATCTGTGAAACTGTTGCTGATGTTTTAGCTTCAGGGCTTCAGGGTCATAAGCGGTAAAGAATCCTCAAGCGAAACGCCTGGCCCACCCTTTCGACCGGTCTCCGGGTGCGACACGGATGAATTATCAATAAGAAGCAGGAGTGCATGAGGAGGGAAGAGAAGGAAGGGGGACAAAGGAGGGTGGAGGGAGGAGGAGGGGGGAAGGGGGGGATTAGCATTGGTTTTTCACTACGGATTGGTGTTGGGCCTCGGGGCCCCCTGGGGCCGAAAAGAGCAATTACAAACAAACTCTGACCTGGAGCCAGGATCCCCAGTCCTCTTAATCCTCCTTCTCCTCCTCCTTCTCCTCCCCCACTGAGATCCGACATTGCAAAAAAATACAGATTACAGCATCCCCAAAAAATTCGGCCAGAGCCCTAGACCCCATCTTGTTTTGTTGCATGCGTCGAGCCAGGTCAGGGCCAGGGAAGCCGCGCGAAAACGCCGACTGTGACAAAACCATCAACAACACCCGGATCTGTGGGTCTTCAGCATGAAGGAAGCCAGTTTGCAGGGAAACAGGTCCTGGACCCCGGGGCCATCCCCCTGGGCCTACTCCTCCTCCTGGGTCGCGCTCTTCTAGCACCGGGCCCGCGGAGGGCCCTGGAATGCCCCCCCTCAAAAAAAGAAGTCAAGGCCCGTTACGCTGAGAAGGAGGAGGAGGAGGAGGAGGAGGAGGAGGAGGAGGAGGAGGAGGAGGAGTTGGAGGAGGAAGAGGAGGAGGAGGAGGAGGAGGAGGAGGAGGAGGAGGAGGGAGGAGGAGGAAACCGACGCCATGGGGCCCCAGCCTCCAGCGGGCTGTGGATACGAATACATTCGGGCCCCAGGGGCCCCGAACATCGCCATATCCACCGCCGGCCGAGGCCCCCGAAGATCGCCCCCGGCGGTGGCCATGGATAAATCCCCGCCTCGGCTGTGGGCCCTCCGCCTCCCGACAAGTTGAGCAGGGTCCGATCGTCCCGGCACTCCTCCAGGCCTACCACGAAATATTCTTAGAACCCAGAAATGTTCTAAGACCACAAAGTAAGTTCTTAGCACAGAAGCCCGATGTGTTCAAAAAAGACAGTCTCAGCCAGAACTGTTCTAAGAACACTCCCCTCAGATCACAATCGGTTTTTAGAGCATTAATTGGTGGGCCTATAGCCGAGCCAGGACGCATCGCCACTGCTCGAACCAGGGCAACTTTCATGCATTCGCGATGGCGACGACACCTTCGGCCATGGCGACGACACCTTCGACGACGACGACGACGACGACGACGACGACGACGACGACGACGACGACGACGACGGCGGCGGCGGCCGCGGCGGCGGCGGCGGCGGCGGCGAGGCCTCCCGCGGCGCATCCCCGCGGAGCGGCGCCAGATGCCGCGGCCTCCCGGCCGGGCGCGCCTCCGGCCCCTCGCGTCGGGGCGGACGGCCAGGAGGGGGCCATGAGAAGGACGAGGAGGAGGAGGAGGAGGAGGAGGAGGAGAAAGAGGAGGAGGAGGAGGAGGAGGAGGAGGAGGAGGAGGAGGAGGAGGAGGAGGAGGAGGAGGAGGAGGAGGAGGAGGAGGAGGAGGAGGAGGGGGGGAGGCCCCCTGCTCTGCAGCCGAAGATGTGGGCAAGAGAATGTTGGGGAGAACCCACTCCCAGACCCCCTCGCGTGGTGAGAAAATCACGACGGGAAGTTTTTCACTGTGTTCGGCCTCCGGGGGCCCTTCCCGGGCCGCGGGGCCGTCAAAAAACGACTCGGGATGAAAAGCCAATCCAGGGGAATGGGTCCAGACTTCTGGGGGTCGCCGTTTTGTGAAAAACTCACGACGTTGGGGGTCTGGGTTATCGTGTTGGGAGGAATGGGTTGGGAGGATAAAGGGCACAAGCAAAACATCCAGATGCAGTGAACAATACCTTCGTCCGCCTACGGGCAAGGATTTTCCCATTTCTCCTAACCCCATCCTCCAAACCAGATACTCGTCTTCATGGAAATGTTACTTCAAGAAACCTGGGCAAGCTTTCTGAAGGTTTCTTAAGACAAACCTGGGCCAATGTCTGTCGTTCCCACTGGAGGGGCGAGCGTGCTCAAGAGACCGGGCCAACCTTTCGGCAGTCTGGTGGAGGAACGCTGGCCCAGCCTTTTCGGGAGGAGGTCTCGCAATGTCCCCGACCGTAGGTCCCCTGGAGGCTTTCTCAATCCGTGGAACCCTTGCAAATATTTGAAACAATGTACGCCGCGCTAAGGCGAGAGCCACATTTAGAAAACCACCCGCCATCCATCTGTGAAACTGTTACCAATTTGAAAGTTTCAGAATCATAAGTAGTGGGGGGGGTCTCAGGCGAAACGCTCGGCCCGCCCTAAAAACTTGCCTCGGGGGACGACAGGGAGAAGTTGCTTATAAGGAAAAGGGATGGAGATATGATGAGGATGGAAAGGAGACAACGGAGGCGGGCGCCGGCCTTCTCCAAACTGTCCGCCCTCTTCGCCTGGCACGCGGCCGCGATGTCCGCCAGACTCCGGCCAGGCACCCTGCCCTGGCGGTCGGTTGGCGGTATGGGGGTGCAGGCATCACACGCCTCATATCCTCCTCCTCCTCCTCCTCCTCCTCCTGCTCCTGCTCCTGCTCCTCCTCCTCCTCCTCCTCCTCCCCTCCTCTCCTCCCTCCTCCCTCCTCCTCCTCCTCCTCCTCCTCTCCTCCTCCCCCTCTCCCTTCCCCCCCCCCCCCTTCCCCGTTCTCCTCCCCCACTCCTCTGCCTCTGCTCCCTCATGCCCCCTCCGCCCTCCCCCCCCCTGCTCCCCCGAAGCAGGCAGGGCGGCCCGAGCGGCGCCCGAGGGGCGGGCGCGCCGGGGAGGGGCAGAGCCTCGGAGGCCGGAGTGCCTTCCGCCTGCAGGTCCGCGCCGAGCGCCGGTCCGCCGTGCTCGACTCGGCCTGGGGCTCCTCCTCCTCCTCTCCTCCTCCTCCTCCTCCTCCTCCCTCCTCCTCCTCCTCCTCCTCCTCCTCCTCCCCCCCCTCTTCCTCCTCCTCCTCCTCCTCCTCCTCCTCCTCCTCCTCCTCCTCCTACTCCTCCGCCTCCTCCTCCTCCTTCCTCCCTCCCTCCCCCCCTCCCTCCCTCCCTCGCTCCTTGTTCGGGGCTCCGGGCGTGTGCTTTTTTTCCAGCGCGGGCAGCGGCGGCGACCGAGGTTCGAACGTCGAGGTTCGAACGTCGAGGTTCGAACGTCGGGGTTCGAGCGTCGAGGTTCGAGCGTCGAGGTTCGAACGTCGAGGTTCGAACGTCGAGGTTCGAACGTCGAGGTTCGAACGTCGAGGTTCGAACGTCGAGATACGAACGTCGAGGTTCGAACGTCGAGGTTCAAACGTCGAGGTTCGAACTTCGAGGCGTCTGTTTGTTCCTCGTCTTCGGCTGCTGGGGGCCGTGTGCGGGCCCGGGGGCCCCCGGAACTCGACCTGGGGTGGAAAAGCCGCGTCGGATGGACCCCGGGAGGGGTCCGAGGACCGATTTTGGCTGATTTTCGGCGGCGCGCCCAGAGGGGGAAGTGAGAAGGGGAAGGTCTTCTCAGAAGGCGGCAGGGTTTTTCAGAAGTCCTCGCGTCGTCTGAGAGGTTTTCTGCGTCTTCGGGGAAGGCCAGGGAAACTTCTCGGGAGTCTGGGAGACTTCTGAGAAGGCCCGCTCCTTCTCACTTCCTCCCAGGGCTCACCGCCGAAGACAGTCCAGGCACCCTCTCGCCGGGAACAAAGATGAGCGGCGGTAGTTTGCAGTTGCATGTGTATATATACATATATATAGTACGTTTGTTGTCTCTCCCTCTCTCCGTGACTATATACCTATTTGCATGCGTGTACACACAAGCGGATACGTAAGCATATTCACGTTACAAACATGGCATGTATTCACAACCATGTTGGTGGTGTGAGTGCATACATGCCAGTAAAAGCAGATTTGAATTAATCCTGCTCTCTCGCCGCGGCAGCCCTTCGATGGAGGGCAATCTGCGTGTGCTAATGGCGCGCTGCTCGTGCAGCTCGTGCGACGCAGGACTGGCACTGCGCGCTAACATCAGGTGTGTCTGCCGATCACCAAACCCATCTACAGAGTGGACACAAGGGCGGGCACGCGTGACGCCCTGAAATTCTCGCAAATGCTGCGCACTTGCACAAAGTGTTGCCCATAAAGCCTGCGGGCTTCAGGACCCCCTTCCCATGTAGGAGGAGGAGGAGGAGGAGGAGGAGGAAGAGGAGGAGAAGAAGAGGAGGAGGAGGAGGAGGTCAAACCAGAGCCCGCTCTCGAGATGGGGCCGCCCTCCGCCCCATGGGACCTGCGCACCGCCCGGACGTCCGCCGACGAGATGCCCTCGGAGCTCCGGTGACTCCGAGGCCCGAAGGCGCCGAAGCCAAGTCGGGGATGGACAGACCTCTCTTCGTCGATCGAAAATCGTCAAGATCTTATTGGGGGCCCATCGAGATCCAAGAAACCCAGGGCACCCAGGCAAAATCCAACTGGTTTCTTGGCACGCGCCCCCACTGCAACGTCATCGTGTCCACCACGAGCGATGATCAGTCGGCTCGAGGCAAAAGTCACCCCAGGCAAGACTCGGGGATGGACAGATCTTTCTTTAGTAAAACGTGGTTTAGTGAAAACGACCTCAGGCCCAAACCTGGCGGGCGCAGGCCTGGAAAACAACGGCCACGGCGCCCTCTCGGGAACCGAAAACGGACAATTCACCAATCGACGTGTCACTGTTGGGGGTTCTGCCCACCCCCGACCAAGGAAAGACGCCCGGATCGAAAACGCACAGATCGCCGGAGATCTGGGGACGCGCGCGCGACTCACAACGCATGCCATGATGCGCCATACCGCCCGCGATCGGCAGTGCCCCCCCCCTTGCCCCCATAGATCTGTTGTATCATCTCCGGTAGCGGTCGTCGCCGGGCGGGGGGGGGGGGGCCAGGCAACGGCTACGCTTTTTGGCACGCTCGCGACAGGCACGGACACAAATGGGTACGATGCCCAACAGCAAATGTTTTCCCAAATCTTCAACGGCCGCTGTTGGCCTTTCTGTCTCAAAAGGACAACGCCCGCGGCGACGCCGACAGCGAACCCTGTTCAAACTGAGTGGGAACTGCTGCTAGTTTGCACATTCTTCCCGTACCTACTTCAGACCTCCAGAACGTCGGGGCGGGGGTGCGCTGCGACCGCCAACATGGAAGGGGCCCAAGGACACACAAATAAATACACACAAATAAGAAGATTCCCAATCTTTTTCCCATCTTTTCTGGGCTTCCGTCTTCCCCCCCGCTTCCCATATTTTCCCATATGTTCGGGGGAATCGACGATTCATGGTGTCTGTGTGTGTGTGTGTGTGTCTGTCTGTCTGTGTGTGTGTGTGTTTGTTGTCCCTCTTGAATTCTTCCCGTACCTACTTCAGACCTCCAGCGCGTCGGGGCGGGGGTGCGCTGGATCGCCAGCGTAGGCGCGCGAGCGCCAACATTTGGGGGGGAGGCCAGGCCTCCTGCGTGGGATATCTGTACTCTGAAGGGGCCCTGGGGCAGACAAATAACTACGCACAAATAACAGGATCCCCCATACTTTCCTATACTTTCTGGGTTTTCGTCTTCACCTCCACTTCCCATATTTCCCAATATTTTCCTGGGAGTCGGCGATTCATTGTGTCTGTGTGCTTCTTTCCCTCCTGAAGAACTTGGGGGGGGGTGCGCTGCGATCGCCAACGTAGGCGCGCGAGAGCCAACATGGGGGGGAGGCCAGGCGCCCTGCGTGGGATATCTGTTCTTCTACTACCCGTGGAAGGAGCTTGGCCCGTGTAGCGAGCGCAACGCCCCAGAGGAACGACAAAACTACGACTCTCCCAGTCACGTCACGATTCGCGCTGGTGCCGTCTGAGAACTAGCAGTGCGTAAGCATTCCCAGACGGCGCCGGCGCGAGTCGTGACGTTATCGGCCCCCTTCACCCCTCCCCCTCCCAGTCATGCCCGTTGTGGTCGGGGGGTAACAGAATTGTCTCTAAGCCTTTCGGGCATAGAATTGGAATGACAGCGATGATGGACCCCTTAACCCTTTGAGAGCGGACGTACGTCAGGAGGTCCAAGCCTTTAGGGATAGAGGGTCTGTTCTGCAGGTCTGTCAACACAAACCGCTCACGTTCCATTCTCCTTGATGAGGCAAGGTTTTCACGATGTTATTGGGAGAACGTTTTTTAGAGACCTCCCAGGTCGGATCGGAGTAAATGGAGTCCGAGAATCGCGCCGCATCGCCAATACATCGGCGATGCATCGGCGATGCATCGGCCATGCACTGGCGACGTCGGCGATACATCGGCGACGCCATCGTGGAGAAAACCGGGCTCCACATCGAGCCGCATCGCCGATGCATCGACGACACAGCGCGATCCGCGATCCTCCGACCCCATTACTCCGACCCCATCCAGGAGGCCTAGACTCGGGTCGGGCGAAAGGGGGGGATAGCAAAGGGGGGGTTTGAGAATCAGCTCACGTAGCTGATTTTCCCGGCGCCTCCCGGCGCCAGAGGCGGCTATGTATCGAGGAATGGGCCCCTCGGCGAGGCTGAAACCAGCTGCATGCAGCAAATTTCGTAACCCCCCCTATCCCAATCCCCCCCCTTTCGTCTGGCCCGATAGACTAAGTGATTGGGCCAGCAATCTTCTTTTACCAGGATGACCAAAGGCGACGACGACGACGACGAAGCCGACGCCGATGCCGACGCCGACGCCGACGCCGACGACGACGACAAGGCGGCAGCGGCAGCACCCGCGCCTTGGGCTCCGACGGCGGCGCGGGCCCGGGGCTCCCGCTCGGCGCGCCCGGGCACGGGCGGCGCGCGCGGCGGCCACCGCGGGCGGAACGAGGCCGCGCCCGCCTTGTCGTCGGCGTCGGCGTCGGCGTCGGCGTCGGCGGCGTCGTCGGCGTCGGCGTCGGCGGCGTCGGCGTCGGCGTCGGCGTCGGCGGCGTCGTCGGCGTCGGCGTCGGCGTTCGGCGTTCGGCGTTCGGCGTTTGGCGTTCGGCGTCGGCGTCGCCCGCGCCGGCGTCGTCGTCCAATCAGAGGTCGGCCATCGACCGCAGGGCCTTGCTCGGGCCCAAGGGGCCATCAGAAGTGGATCCGGGAAAGCGGCCCGGTCCTCTGCGGCCGCGGGCTGACAAAAAAAACATGCGGGCGGATATCAGGGGTTGTCGTAGTCCTGCTCATTCGTCCTCCTCCTCCTCCTCCTCCTCCGCCTCCTCCTCCTCCTCCTCCTCCTCCTCCTCCTCCTCCTCACGGCGTAGTGGAGAGTCACGGGGACTACCACCACAGTGCACGTGCTCGAGAGCTGCAGAAGGACAAGCACCAAGTCATGTTCGAGGGCGGCCGCGGCAGCTGCATCGGCAGGGCGACACAAAGTCCTGAGGAAGCCCCCACAGGAGGGAACACCTGAGGCACCATGTCGCCGCGCCGTGCTGGAAGCGTCAGATCGCAAAGTCCTGGGGGAGCCCCCACGAGAGGGAACACCCCAGGCTCAAAGTAGCCGCGTTATGCCGGAACCTCGATGGGAGTGCGCTGCTCGTGGATGCGCACCCCGCGAGCCAGCCAACCTGCCGCTGCCACGGACTTTCACGCACCCGAGGCGGAGCAGCGGCTCAGGCACTTCCTCGACGGACTGGCCGACCTCGCTGGGCAGTGGATCCCCCACCTGGCCATGCGCGACGATGGGTACGGGGGGTGGATGGCCCACTGCATGGAGGAGATGTCCGAGTTCCTTGCGACGGAGCCGTTCCGTGCCCGCTTCGAGGACACGACGCCAAAGGTGCCTGGCGCATGCGGCAGGGCAGGGCCAGAGAGCGGTGCGAGGAGGCGTGGCAGCGAGGCCGCCCAGCGCGGACGGCGGCCGATCAGCAGCCGCCCTGGTTCCCGCCACCCCGACGATCCAGGTCGAGAAGCCGACCGGCGTCCAGAGCTGCCAGCCGCAGGGCGCCGCCGTCTCCCTCGCCGTCCCCGCCCAGTTGGCTGAAGGATGAACTGGCGCAGCTCACCACGCGCGGCACGACGGCAGCTGCGGCGGCTGCCCCGTCTGCTGGATGGCCTCCCCGCCTGCTGCGCGTGGATCAGGCCGCCGGGGCGCCCGTGGGCCCTCCCAGGCGCCAGGGGCCCGCGGCCCTGCCCGTGGGAAGGGGCCCCAGGACACACAAATCAACACACCCAAAGAAAAAGACTCCCCATCTTCTCCCATATTTGTTTGGTTTTTGTCTTCCCCCCCACTGCCCATATTTTCCCATACCATCTGGGGAATCGACGATGAATTGTGTATGTGTGCTTTTTCCCTCCTGACCGTGGGCCGCCGCCTGGTGGGGCGGCGTGGGCAGGGACCCCGGCGGCCAGGAGGTGAAGGGGCCCTGGGACACACAACAAATATATATATATATATATACAAATTGCAGGATTCCCCATATTTTCCCGTATTTTCTGGATTTTTGTCTTACCCCCCACTTCCCAAATTTTCCCATATGTTCTGGATTGTTGTCCCCCCCCCCTCCCCACATTTTCCAATATTGTCCCTCTATTTTCGGGGGAATCGGCGATTCGTTGTGTCTGTGTGTTTCTTGCCCTCCTGGGGCGGGGCGGGGAGCCGCGCGCGCTTGCGCACGCCGGGGCCCCGCCCCTCGAGAGCCGGGGGGCAGCCTCGCGGCCGCCCCGCGAGGAGGCGAGGCGCGCTGCGGCGGGCGGGGAGCGGCCCGCCCCCCCGAGCGGGGAAGGGCCGCCGGCGCGGCGCCCGTTGGGGCCCCCTGCCGCGCCTGGGGGGCCCTGCAGCCCCCCCCCCACTTGCCGCCGCTCGGGCGTCCATGTCCCGTGCATGTTGCGGCGTCGTGCGTGTTTTTTTTTTGTGGCTCGATGGTCCAGGATGTGGTCCTCGCTGGTCCTCGCCGGAAGCAACATGCACAGGTCCGAGCGAGGCCGAGCCCAGGTCGCGTGCCGGGGCGAGGAGCGGCTGGCCGCCGCGGCGGCCGGCGGAGGGCGGGGGGAAGTGCCGCCGGCGCGGCGCCCGCTGCCGTGCGGCGTGGCGGCCGCTGGCGGACCCCCCCCCCCGAGGCTGCGCGCAGGCGGCGAGGAGGCGGACGCGCCTCGGGCCGCGCGCGGGGGCGAGGAGCGGGCGGACGCGCCTCGGGTGCCGCCGCCGAGTGCGCCACGGCCGCGCGCGGGGGGCGCGGCCGCGTAGCGGACCGAGAGACAGCTGGGGCCCTGGCGGTCGTCAGCGTGCTGACGGTCGCCCTCCCTCCTTTTTTATCCCTCCTCCTCCTCCTCCTCCTCCTCCTCCTCCTCCTCCTCCTCCTTCCTCTCCTCCTCCAACTCCTGCCTAGACCTCCTCTCGATACGAAGAACACGCCGCGGGAGGTCGTTTTTCGTCGTGGGCCTCCTGGCACTGCTCGCTGGGCCCCAAGCCCGGCAAAAACAGCTCGGGACGAGGAAACCGGTCAAGAGGAACGGGACTAGACCTTTGCGGCGCCACGTCGGGAGAAAAGCGAAATGTCGGAGATGTGGGTCCTCCTCGCGAGTGCGAGGGGATACGGTCAGGAACTCCTGCACAGCGTGTCGCCGCGGCGGCCCCGCCGATACGCTATATGCCCTGCGAGTGGGTGGCGCGTCGCGCCGCGCTGCGGGGCGGGAGGCTCGGAAAAGCTCGAGACGTTGACGCCTGGGGGCCGGGAAGCGGATAGCGTGTCGCTCCGAAGCGTGGAGGGGGAGGAGGAGGAGGAGGAGGAGGAGGAGGAGGAGGAGGAGGAGGAGGAGGAGGAGGAGGAGGCTCCGAAGCGTGGAGGAGGCGGAGGAGGAGGTGGGCCAGGGCTGGCGGCGCGACACGCGATCCCAAAATTCTGGACCGCAGACCACTGCGGCTCCACGCTGCGAGAAGAGCGCGACACATCGGAGATCTGGGCCCTCCTCCTCGCCTCGCCACGGCTCGGACGTCCCCTCCCCCGTGCATGCTTCGACTTCGGCCGTGCACCTTGTCGCAAGATGGTCGAAGATGCTCCTCGATGGTCCCCGCCGAGAAAAAAAAAAAAAAAAAGCGCACGCGTCCGAGTGATGCCGAGCGTTTTTGCGCGTGCCCTGCGAGCACTCAGGCTCCCCCCCCCTGGGGCCCCGGCTGCTCCCAGGGGGGAGCGCCCGCCCCGCCACGGGCGGTGGGGTCCACCTCCTCCTGCTTCTCCGCCTCCCCCTCCTCCCTCCCGCACCATCTGGTCCACCCTTGCAGATCAGCGCCAGCCGACGCCAAATCGTAGCGAACATCGTCGCGAGCCAATGCCCATTCGGCGCGCCGCCCCATCGACTTCCAGACGCTGTTCGACGCCAGTGCACTCCAAGACGGAATTGCGAGGGTATGCCAGGCTCCCATGGCTTGCTCGCGCCGCTCGT